ATTTCACAACGAAATAAATACATATGTATTTATGTACATAATCGCGCTGGTTATTTTTGATTTTTGACGTAGAATACGTCTTACGTTTCGATATGGAGGCTATGCTGAAATGTTGTAGTTGTAATTTTTAGAGCTTCACGAAAACGCTTATTGCACGAGAACTAATGCAGTGATTTCAAAGAAATGTGCGGCGTTTCAAAGATAAAAATCCAAGCCTATCGACAGATTCATTTTTGTAAGTAACTAATTCGGTTTCTGTCGTAAAAAGAACGGTAAACTTTGGCTTATTTTGGGGTAAATTTTGAGCATTCAATGTGCTCCAGCAGTTTATGATTTGCAGATATAACTTTAATTTTCGGGATGTAGATTCTTTGGAGCAATAGAAATATTATCGTGTACAGATTTTATATAAATCCAACAAATATCGAACATTTAAAGGCAAAAAATTGTTGAAATAACTAGCAAAGTTTTTAGTATTACCAAAATGCTCGAAAACCGCTCGAATGATTTTGAGTTTGTTTTCTTTAATCGAAAATTCAAGAGTTTTCCTTTCGTTTGGTATATGGAAAGTATTGCTTGATATCTTCTAAGTATGTTTATTTGATTCATATATATGGGCATAAACGATTTTCCATACAAAATCACTTCGTCATCGTTTTGCAAACACGTGCATGCGTTGGAAGTGAGGGAAGGAGACAAAAAGTATGTATGTGTGCGTAAGCAGAGCTGTAAAATGATTGAATCAATAGGATCTGCATTCACTCGACATTCTTTTAAAAATTTTGATTGTTTGTTTGTATAAAAAAAGCCTCATTCCTGAGTGGCTTAAAATGCTTGAAAACAAATAAACTGTGTTGTGTTTTTGAATGGTAGATTGACATTCAGTATGGAATGTGAATGTAACAGAAGCATTCGCACACACACATGATTGTATATTTAAAATGAATGCACACGTTTTTACCATTCAGTACTAATACTTTTTTCCCAGGGTTGAAATATTTTATACTTTAAAGTTTAAACATATCTGGAATTGAAAAAAAAAACATATATGTATACGTATGTATGTATTTCAACGCGTATGTATAGACGTTTTCTGACAATAACCCATGGCTAATGACTGGTGCGAAATCAGTTCAAACAAACATCGCAACCGTCGAGCACAAAGGACACATCTTGATACATACATTTACATATATTACATTCGAAACTAGTGAACTGTATATAGAAATATAAAACAGTGTCAATAGAATTGAGTTTTTAAAACTCTTGCTTGAAAAAACTTAAGAATTTCATTACCGGCATCTGCCCCTTCGTATTATAGACTTTTAGAACTATAAAAGGTCTATTGAAAATACAAAAATTAAACCATAACCTGGTCCCTCCCATAAAACGGTAATTTCGAAAAATTCAAAACATTCAATATTTCCTTAATTACAGAAAACAAATTGCTAAAAAAGTCACATGTTTATTATTATACATTTTTGAAAAATGGGACATATTTCTAACTTTTGAAATCAATTTGCTCAAAACATACATTTAGAATAATGTTTTAAGAAATAATTACACCCGAGCGCATTTGTGCACATGGGTATTATAACTTTGTTCGCATAGCGGTTGTTTGTTGTCTAGGCCTTCAGGTTAATAAAGATTGTAGAAAACGATTTTTGCTTGTGTGGGGTCCCGTTTGATTCCAAAAATTGGAAGGAACTGATTTTTTCAAATTGCAACACCTAATAAATAAATTATTTCTAAAATAGGTTACAGCAGACAATGTTTAATCATTTTTTATTAATATACCGACACCTGATTGGAAGATCAACCTATCTCGGCAGCCAATTCAAAAACGCCCTAACTCAGAAAACTTTTTATGAAAGTCCTACTTCAGAATTTGGTTGAAGAACGCCCTATCTCAAATGAAAATATATTGAAAATTTGCCGAGGTCGGGCGTTTTTGAACCGCATTCTGAGATAGGGCGTTCTTCAACAAAATTCCGAAATAGGGTGTTCTAGAACGGTTTTTTGAGATAGGGAGTTTTCGAACTGGCTGCCGAGATAGGTCGATCTTCCACTTAGGTGTCGATATGTAGTTTTGATGTTAACAAACAAACCAAAACTTGGGTTAAAAAGCGTGCTCAATGAAATGGGTATAAATTCTTAAATATTGCACTTTCGGAAAAGGATGTTAATGAAAATAGGGACCAACGAATTTTGTTAAATATTTTTTTTGTTGGAAATGTTGATAATTTGTGGCTTATTGTAAATGAAAAAACCTCCACAAACCAACAAATTCGATTTTCGAATCTTTATTAACTGCTTGACTCAATAGCGACGAAAAAAAGTACGAAGAAATTTGTATCAAAAATTTTTATAATTAAATAATGAAATGTATATGTATGTCTAAATTTAGAACCAGAAGCTCTTAAATTTGTTAGTTTATATTAACTTATATATGTATGTACTAATTTATGTATTATGCATTATTAATGGTGTATTGGTAACACTTATTTGGAAAGCTGACAATTTTCTAAACAGAGATGTTAAAATCATTAATAATTTATATTTTTCATAATGACATTCTAACGACACGTTCACTAAAAAATATTTCTCCAATTAATATTTTTTATTCTTATAAATCCTTGTACAAATTTAAGTGAAAAAAACTGATGATAACGCTCTATTAACTATTTTTCGTGTTGAAATTTTGAAGTCTTTTTAAAAAAATGCAACCTGGCGTATTTTTCAGAGGGTTTTGTGTGTTCAAAATATTTATATCAATTGATTGGTACTGAGTGGATGTGTGCACACATAGCAAAAGCATCATTCATCTGAGTGCTTATTCAGTGTTAAAAGTGAATCGTTCGTCATTCAATTTTTTCAATCTTTCTTTGAATATGGAAATGTGTGCAATCGTATCTACTTTGAGTGAATGTAGAATTGGAAAACTTTAAGCCGCATTATTCAATAAGGGAGAATTCAATGAAAACATAATAATATAAAATTGATGATTTTTAATTTCAAATGATTTCACAGTTTTACAGCTCTGTGCGTAAGTACATATGTACATATTTCCGCTTTTGATAAACAGATGGCGGAATATTTATAACCTAATCGCACCGTATGTATATACATATGTAAATACATATGTACATACGTACATATGTTGATTGCAGTTAATGTGGATCAGTTTCTACTTTTTAGTAATCTATGTATGTATGTACATTAGACTGCATCACTCCCCATACAAAAAAAAAACGGTACTATTTTTCCATTGGAATTATAAAAAATATTAAAATTTAAGTGAGATGGACCAATTTCAAAATACCTCCAAAAATGGAGTTTTTTATGAATAAAAAGTTTCTTAAAATTTTTTTTTTTTTAAATCCCCTCAAATGACAAAACGGTTTAAGCTTAAAAAATTTGCATAAAAATATTTAAATAAAAACTTAAAAAAATTTGAACGGAATCGTAATGATGAGATTTTTGATACTGTTTTATAACTTTTTTCAAAGATTGGTATAAAAAAACTTGAATAACGGAGCCTAAACTCTTCTGATTTAGACTTAAGAGGTGTCGGTGGAAAGGTATTTTCTCACGCTTTTTATTTCTTTGCTAATAAACTCATTCAAAGGATGAAACAGAAAGGTAGGATGAACGAACGTCATTCAAGGTTGAATTAAGATGTGTTGGTACTCGAAGAAAAAAAATGGGACAAGAATGACGTTTTTTGGCCAGAAATAATCGATATTTTTATCGAAGTTTTTATCGATATTGTTTTTGATTTTGCTATCGATATTTTCGGAACTTATCGATATAATGATCGATATATTTATCGATTTTGTTATCGATAACTTTTATCGATTGTGTTATCGATATTTTAGCTGATTTTGTTAACGATTTTGTAACCGATTTTGTTATCGATTTTATTATCGATTATTTATCGATATTTTTATCAGTTTTGTTATCGATTTTGTTATCGATATTTTTATAGATTTTGTTGTGGATATTTTAATCGATTTGGCATCGATATTTTTATCGGTTTTGTTATCGATATTTTTAGTGATTGTGTTAACGATTTTGCTATCGATATTATTATCGCTTTTGTCATCGATATTTTTATCGATATTGTTACTGACTTTGCTGTCGATATTTTTGGAACTTATCAATATAATGATCGATATTTTTATCGATATTTTTTATCGGTTTTGTTATCGGTTGTTTTATCGATTTTGCTATCGATATTATTATCGATTTTGCTATCGCTTTTGTTATCGATATACTTATCGATTTTGTTATCGATATTTTTATTGATTTTGTCATCAATATTTTTATCGGTTTTATTACCGATATTTTTATGGATTTTGCTATCGTTATTGTTATCGCTTTTGTTATCGATATTTTTATCGATGTTGTTATCGCTTTTGTTATCGATATTTTTTTCGATTTTGTTATCGACTTTGTAATCGATTTTTTTGATAGATTTTGTAATCGATTTTGTGATCGATTTTGTTATCGATACTTTTATCGATTTTGTTATCGATTTGACTACCGATTTTGCTATTGATTTAATTATAGATTTTGATATCGATATTTTCTTCGATTTTTTTATCGATGTTTTTATCGGTTTTGCTATCGATATTATTACCGCTTTTGTTATCGATATTTTTTTCTTAGTGAGTGCTTTCGTTTTTGACTTGGCCATACCACGTATTCTACGTTTAAATTTAGCAGCTGTATCTCCGATACAGCCTGCAGACCAAGACGAAGGCGCTGGACTGTTCCTTTTTCTTAATTATTTCTATATCGCTTTCAGAAACAAAGATCTATGTAGAAAAATTGGTTTTCTAATACATATAAAATTGAATTTTTATTAGTAATTTTTAATTAAATCTAATATCACTGTAATCCACCGGGTTAGGCATATACAAAGTATATTCGCTAAAAATTAATTAAGATCATATATACGTACTATAAACTTATGTATGAATATATATGTACGTATGTTTATTTATTTGCAAATATTGTATTAAAATTCTTTTCAAATTGATCACGAGTTGAAGATTTGGTTTTATGGCAAAATACAAGTAAGTGTACTATCCTACTTAAGTAGTATGTTGTATTTTATCAAAACTATTTTCTTAAAATGCTATACTAACGGAACTTTCTAAACACTACTCCCTTCTAACAATTCTTTCAACCATTTTGTTAGTAAAATAAATATTTTTAGAACAGCATTACGTATATAAAAAATAAAGATATTGATACATAGGCACAGCTAGTAGTTGTAAGAGGCAAAGTTCAAGTGTTTAACCAAGAATTGGGTCACATACTGGATGATCACATTGTTGGTCGTTCTCAGCGAGAGACGATGACGTATCATAAGATAGGCCGCGAGTGTAAAAGTAATATAAAATATTACCAGACAGCATACTGAGAACATATAGTTAAGATTCTCAAAGCCAAGAATCATAAGCAAGAATTCCGACTTCTTAAACATACAAAATATTTCCGTTTCTGGACAATGCAGATCTTCGCGATTATAACCATAAAGAGCGGCCACAAGACCTCCCATGCCATGACGCACGTAACTAAGTTGCATTAAGAAGCGCATTAAAGGATGTATGTAGACAGCCTTGCCATAACCAATGCCATAGCAGGAGAGTAGAATAAGTGGCACAGCAATTACAGGACCCATGAACATGGCGTTCTGTGAGTGCAGAGAATAATAATTGCATGGTAAGTAGTATTTGTGCTACGAAATTACATACCACCAAACTGAGACGCGATGAGATCAGTAAACCTAAGCTCTCCGAAGTCATGGCGGTTAGAAAAGCTATTACGAAGAGCATGCAAAAACGAGAAAGCTCCAACGGCTGACTGGACATTACATACACCATAATGAGGTAGATGACGGCCAACACGAACATAAAAGGCAGCTTGGAACAAATCAGAGCGGCATAATAGGAGCTCAGATGATACCACTGATTGAAGTATTCGCGCTTGAGGAATTTCATTTCTGTGGGAACTGTGGAAGAGAGAGAAAAGGAAGATTAAATAAAGTTAAACTTTACGGTAAAGATAAATAATTTTGTTCAAGAGAATGTGCAATATTAAGTTATTACTATTTGAAATACGCTCCACATACACTGTAATAATACTGGCATCATCGGCAGGTATAAATATGCAATAATTATCGTGAATGAAAAGCCAAAGTTAAACAAAGCCTTGGATGCATCATCGCCGATGCCTTTGAAAATGCCGCCAACAATCAGCGCCAGCACAATGTTCATATAGAATTTGAGCTTCATGTAGGACTGCAATGTATAGAATGTGGGCAATTTAGAAAAACGTATGTTCACAATTTACCAAAAACACACCTTATCACGCCACATCTGCGCCATCATTCGCATCAGCAGCAGCCGATACTGCATCCACCAGGACGCCTTCTGTTTCAGCAATTTCGGATTTATTTCCTCTTCGAATTGTTCCAACTCATCGAAGGATGAGGCACCAGACGTTGTATCCGATTTATTTGTTGTATCAGATTTTAATTGGCGGTATTCCTGTTGTGGTGTCCAGCGGTAAACTTTGCCATTGTCCACAGCGGAAACCATTGGTTCGTGGTAGTGATTACCATATTCGTGGCAGGCAACTTCGATGACTGTGAATTAAATCGAATTCGACGCAATTAAATTAAACTAAACTAGACTTAGTTACATTTAACTAAACTAAACGAAATTAAATTAATCTTGTATCATGGAAACAAGTTTACACAGTAAAAATTAGTGAGCAATGCGGAAAAACAGCAATATGTACATTAGGGAGGTCCCTAAATGCAGGAAGCATATTTTTACATCAGATTTCCTAAGACTCAACCCCTACGTCGATGCTACTATAGCCGAAGATGTCACATATAAATTTTGGTCCCGATTTTAGACGGTTAAAGCGTGTCGCACATGGGTTAAAGTTCAGATTCCTTTATGGAGACTCAAAAAATTAAAATCAATTTTTTTTTCATCTCATACCCAAAATCGATACTATAGCCGAAGATATCACTTATAAATTTTGGCACAGATTGAAGTTGGTTAAGACGTGTCGCACAGGGGTCAAAATTCAGATTACCTTATGAAGACGTCTTAACCGACTCCAATCGGGACCAAATTTTATATGTGATATCCTCGACTTTAGTAGTATCGATTTTAGCTATTAAGTAAATAAAAAAATTAATTTAAATTTTTGAGCCCATAGAGGATTCTGTACTTTGCTCCCTTTGCGACACACCTTAACCGTCTCCAATCGGGACAAATATGTTATATCTGTCACCGTGGTGTTACCGATTGAGGGGGTGAGACTGAAGAAAATGGTTCACTTGATTTTAAGGACCACCCTTATGTACATATCGTCGTTGAAAGTACAAAACCCCCTATCGTCATTCTGAAAAACCGCGTAACTGACTATGGCTGCCAAAAATTAGATTTGCTCACACAATCAATCCCTATCCATTCGTCCTCAAATATACTAGCCAGAAATGCGATTGCCTTATAAAAAAGAGAACCATTTTGAAATATGAATGTTTTTACGCTCTAGAAAATAATTTCTTCAACTTAACATACGCGGTTTTGCATTTTGTTGATACGCGGTTTTGCACTTTAAAGCGCAAACAGTCAACGACGTAGCGTAGACGTAGGTTGACGCAGACACGATCTATCTTATCGGATTCGCGTGTTAACGAAAACTCACGACCGCATCGCGGTGACGTTGCCGTTGCTTCTCTCTCTCTCTATCAACAGTAAATTTGATATGCTGCTACGTACGTCAACCTACGTTTACGCTACGTCGTTGACTAACTGAGCTTTAAACGACGATATGTATATATCTCGAGGACAACACTGCAACTGCAAGACTTTGGTTATCACCAGTTGCAAGCTAACAACCATTGATCACGGAAGAAGCGATTTTTTTGGCGTTGGCCTTTTGCTAAGAACTACTAGCGACACCCTAAAAGAGTTTCAAAACAATTCAAATAATATAGAGAACCTCGCTATCTATATAAATTGCAGAAGACTAACTAGCTCCGTAGCCGTTGGATGGGGTATGCTCTCAAGAGACCGACAAATGCTAGACGTGGCCGCTAGATTAGGACTAGCTGTTATTATTTTCCGAATCCCAGGACGCGAAAAGACTTGATTTTTTTTTGCATGGGAAATGGACCAATAGTCGGCAAACTCTTCGCAATACATGATACGCTATCTGCAGAGATTAAAGGGAACCTACCGTCGAAGAAACTCTCACTTTTTACAACGAATGAGCTCCAAATGATCGCTATCAAGCTTAATAATAATAAATCACCAGACCCCGTTGGTGTACCTGCAAAAGTGCAAATTATTACAGCCTCAAAGCGCCTGGAGCTACTTTTTAAAATACATAATGGACTATCGTCCAGAAAGCATTTTTTCGCCCGGTAATCAGTCTGATTAATGCGCGGGGCTCTTTTAAGTCCCAAAAAGGTTCCAGGGGTAGATGACATCAAGGCAGTAATGAAAAAGCAGTCTAACGAACATAAATAATAGGGGTGGTAGAATTGTTTATTTGCTAGAAAAGACTTTCAGACCCAAAAGTTCAAGTTCCATTGCAGGGAGAGAATATAATAATATCAGATAAAACATTCTGAAGGCAATTCTCGTCAACTGGCATACAGACCGGTAAGGTACTAAGCATGGCTATGTATCAGCTGGCAATCGAAATCCAAGGCGCCTTTGAATACATGCAATGCCCTCTTCCACATAATAGAGAGGCCTGTTGATAATATGTCATACTCTAGAGTTCGCAGGAAAATAGAGAAACTGAAGTGGCTGGCATCAGGGCTCAACTAAAACCCAAAAAGGGCTGTCTTCAGGGAGTGGTTATATCTCCTCTTCTGTGGATACCTTGCCAACAAACTCATGGGGATGCAGACACAAGATACCACCGATACCGATGGCTACACACAATGATATTAAAACCAATAGTAACCTATGGAGCGGCAACTTGAAGTTCAATTACTACTCTGGCAATGTACATATGTCCGACGACGGCGCTGGAAGTAGTCCTCGAACTTGAACAGGCTGCCAAAAAACTTGCATATTTAGTTAAGTAGAACCATAATTTTTAAGAAAAGGTTTAAAATAGTGTTATA